GTTCTAAACTATTCTTGATTGTGCAATGCAACGAAGTGGATTGTTGATCACAATCGGTAATCTTCCTTTTCCGATTAGTTGGAGTAGTTCCATTGAAAATTTTCTTACTAACTTTATAGCAAAATTAGATTTCTTTATCAAAATGCTGTGTTCACTTTTTCTGCAGTACCCATACCTGAAAAAACTTTCTTATCATCTAGCATTATGGTAACATCAAAACTCAAAGCAATAAGTGAATGGAAAATTTATTAGGGTCAAAATAACTAAAGTTGAATAAGCATAGACGAACATAGTTATCAGTAAAAGCTTCACGGTTCCAACGGTTCCGGTTCGGTTCCGGGTACCAAAATCTTGAAAATTCGGTTCTCGGTTCCGTTTTTTTTGGAACCGCTGGGCTCTAATAGTGAATGAATATAATATCAGGCTATATGAAGGATGGTCGAAAAGTCTTAACTTGGTCTGTATAATAAATTTTTCTTTAGTAAAACGTGTGGTTGAAAATTTGTTTCTATAAAGAAAAGATGCAGTAAACGATGTTCTACAAAATGAGTATTAATTGATCCTGCTCACTCATCTGGTAAGCAAGATATAGGCTTAGAAATGTGGTTGATAAAAAAGAAAAATTAAACGTGAATCCCAGCTACATTGTGATGATTTCAGTAAAAGTCCCATAACTTTCTCAAAACAAGAGGTTTTTCGATCGGATTTATTTTGTTTTGATTAGTAATGATTGTTCTTCTCTACTTAGTTGCAAGATCAACACTTCGATCACATTTTCCGTTTCTACGATTGGGCATACAGTCGGAAACGGGGTTGCCAATTTTTCATGTATTTTTGAAATTTGCTTGTTAAATATTCCATCTACGCTAAAAAATTGTTTTCTACAAACCACGAGAAAGAGCACAATTGAAAGTACCAAGCACAAGTTGAGTTCTTACTTTTGCTACTCTTTTTCACGGAAATAATAGGACCGGAACAAGTTCAAATCGAAAAAATACCAAATTTACAAAATTTTCATTTTTTTCACCTCGTGTATCAGCGTATGGGTGTGGGTGTGGACCAAGAAAGTACTCAGAATACACCCACACCCTCTTTTTTTTCGATGATTTATTTCTATCAGACCTCTGCATGGGATGCAATGAAACGAAAAAAATATCTCATGGAACGAGTCGTTTAGTAAAAAGACTTTTTGAAGTCTTAGATTGAACTTTCATGACTGCCATAGGAAATCATTCATTTCTATTCTAGCTGTTTCTATATCGTCAGTTTATTCTTTTTACTAATCACATAAATTTTACGGGTTTCTTCAACAAAGTTGTTGCGGATTCTGATAGATTCCGACAAATACGATAAATAATTGATTGAGATCAATAAAACATTTTAATTTATTAAGCTCTGCTAAACTCCAAGATCGACTTTTCTTTTAGAAGATTTCAATTTATGTACCGAAGCATTAATAATTAGTAACGCTTCTTTGTCTGCAAATCTTCGATTATGCTGCCGGAAAATATCGAACATAAAAAATTTGCCAACAAATCATCGCATAAAAATATAAACTTTGATTTTCATTCAACGCGACTAAAATCGAAGCAGAAATAATTGTGAGTTCTGTGTAATATCAAACACCTGTGTCTTTTGCTTTTAGCGTTCTTTGCAAATATGCAACAACCCTAAACAAACACTGTCATTCTCACCTTTCATTAACGTTATCATGATGTAAACCAAAGTGACGTCACAATGAAGATGAAATTATGAGTTTTTCATATTCTGCATGAGATACAAGATAAGATCTTTTGTGGCATCATCGTTCTTCTTCTCATTTTTCACTTCATACAACATTACACAACGCGTTCGTGAATTTACAAATAACTGAAGATGAAACTAGTTTTTACTTTTCTGATATTTGTTGTCAGTTTGGTTAGGGGTGCTGATAGGACGCATGCTAATGCTCAAATGTTTCTCATGGGAACAAATGATTTTATTGGAACAGTTAACTTTTACGAGGAGGAAGAAGCTTGGGGCGTTGTCATTTCTGGTTCTGTTAATCGTTTGCGACCTCTGGCAAAATTAGTAAGTATATTGTTTTATTTTAATTGGTCAATAATTTGAAGAGAAATCATGAGACAAATCTAACTTCACAAAAAAGGTCATGGTTTCAGATTTCTACGTAACAACATTTCAAAAGTTTGGCAATACTGTCAAACTAGTTTCAACTTCTCATTGACACGAGATTATTTCGAAAGTTTTATCTCGAGAAATCACGAGAAAAGATTTCACGTTAGTGTAGTAATTACTTTCAAAGGTAAACGAAAAATGACTCACCACCGTTGATTTAGAACTTGTCGTAGAACAAATCTCTTGTTCTCATATGTTCATTGTGAATCAAAACTTTTTCATAAAAACCATAGAAAGCTTTCAACCTATCGAATATTATCGTATGCTTTCGTGTTGGCTGTAAGAAACCTGAAGTTCATCGATACCTTTAAGTCTGAAAATCTTCATGTCTAGCAATGTATTATATGAGTTTTCAGGCATTCACTTACAAGTCTCAAGCTTTCGGTAGTTCGAAAATCTTTGAAGAATTTTGAATTATGTTTGAGGACAAAGTAATGCATCAATGGATGAAAATCGTAACGTTTTCGAGATATAATCTAAGATTTCTCCTGGCAACAGCTTGCAATAGGCTATGTTTTTATTAGGGTTTTCATATCCATTCTCAACCTATTGGAGACAATCATAATTGTACAGCTGGTGGTGCTCATTACAATCCTTACAGTAAGTTCAATTCTCTACAATAGAGCAATGATTATTGCACTAAATCTATTATAATAGACGTGTCTCATGGAATGCCTGAAGATCCACTTATGCAACGGCACGTCGGCGATCTCGGCAACATTGACATCAATGCTGATGGCAGAGCTTACATAGGATTAGTTGATCATATCATTTCGCTTAGATCTAATGACACAAGAAATGTTATTGGTTTACCTCTTATGATCCACAATTTAACTGATGATGGAGGTCATACTGGCAAGGGTGAAAGTAATACCACTGGGTAAGTATGCATAAGCTGATATGTCATTTTCCTCTATTAACATATTCATCACATTTATAGAAACGCAGGTCCACGAATAGCATGCGGAACAATACGTCTTGGTTGAATAATATATTTTCATATGTTTAAATTTCGATTGTTCTATCAGCTTATCAAAGTTTTCTTTTCTAAAAATTTATATTTCTCTTGATAAAACTGCAGAATATATTTTAAAACATGTGAGGAGGAGTCTCGAAAGAAGAATATAATCCTCATCCTCATAATTCCATGCCAACTCACTTTCGCTGCTCATCACGTAAGGCATTACCGCATGGCGAAGATCATTACCTGCAAAAAGACAGAAGAGAACTTTGAATCATACATTTTTTTTGTCTCTTCCATTGATTCATCTTGATCGGATCATTATATCTACTGTAATCATTGATCAATTAGCAAGTGCATCTCGAAATGATATGTTGAAGAACAGTACAGATTATTTCAGTTAATTATATAGACTATTGTCGGGTGTAAGTATGATTGACAAGAAGAATAACATCCATACCCATACCTCTATTGGTTTCGATAGGGTGTGGGTGTGAGTGTGGGTGTGGGGTGTGGGCGTGTGGGTGTGGATGTGGGTGGGTGTGGGTGTGTGGGTGGGTGTGGGTGTGGGTGGGTGTGTGGTGTGGGTGTGGGTGTGGCTGGCTTTGGATGTATGTTCATATAGCACTGCTTTACCCACACTCACCCACCCCTTCTTGGAATCTGATAGAATTCATCATGATCTACAATATTCGCAATATCAGACATTGTTTCCTAGACTGAAAGGCTAGGGTCTAGAAACGGAAATTCACCTGTGCCTGTCTGTCTGTAACACTTGGTACAAATGGCCATTTTTGTGGCACAAGTGACCATTTTCATGCTACAAAAGTACCACTTTGGTAGTGCAGGCGACCATTTATTTGACACAATTGACCATATTCATTATAACGATGACCGTTTCTATGGCTCAAATCAGCATTTCCAAGCCACAATCAACCGTTTTTATGGCACAGTTGACAATTCTAATGGCTCAAATGAGTATGTCTGTGTCACAATTGGCCATGCCCGTATTAGAAATGGCCATTACTTTGGCATAGATCACAATTTTTAGTCGTTATAATTAACTAAAGCATAAACGTTATCATATACATTAGCATCTTTCAATATTTTATCTGAACTATTTGTGTATATCTATAGCATGTAATATAGAATATATTACAAAGATTAATAATTTCTCCTAAACTCATCATTACAAACAGTTCATTTTTATTTAAAAATATAAGGACATACTTGTCATCATTCCTCACTCTAGGGCCAAGTGAATCGACACTGAATGTCGATGAACGTTACTTGTTTTATATCATGGAATCCTTGGAATCTGTGATATCCTCTGAAAGTTCTGTATTGGCCAAAATGGGTTTCAAGGAGGTCCAGAGTTCCATGGGTTCCCACTTCAGGATCTTTTAGAATCCTTGGAATCTCATAGAATTCATCATGATCTACAATATTCGAAATACCAGACATTGTTTTATATCATGGAATCCTTGGCACCCTCTGAAAGTCCTATGGTAACCATAGAGGTTTTTAGAAGGTCCAGAGCTACATGGGTTCCCACTTCACGATCTTTTGGAATCCTTCGAATCTGATAGAATTCCTCATGATCTACAATATTTGAAATAACAGACATTGTTTTATATTACGGAATGCTTGGAATCCTTGGTATCCTCGGAAATTCCTTTGATGACCATAGGGGTTTTCAGGCGGTCTAGGTTTGCATGGGTTCCCACTTGTGGACTTTTTGGAATCCTTCGAATCTGATAGAATATATCATGATCTACAATATTTGAAATAACAGACATTGTTTTATATCACGGAATGCTTGGAATCCTTGGTATCCTCTGAAAGTTCTTTGGTGAGCATAGGGGTTTTAAGCAGGTAGAGAGTTGCACGGGTTGCCACTTCTGGATCTTTGGGAATCCGTCGAATCTGATAGAATATATCATGATCTACAATATTCGAAATACGAGACATTTTTTTATGTCATGGAATCCTTGAAGTCGGCGAGAAAAATTCAAGGTTTCCGCTTTGAAGGAAGTCAGCCAGGTGTGGGTGGTGTTTTTGTTGTTTCCCTTTTTTGTGTGTTTAAGGTTTCCTAGTATAGAATGTGTGGTTTTTGTATAATTAGGGTGAGTTTTATTTATTCATTATAATTTAATTTAGACACACTGTTAATTAATTAAGTTGTGTTAATTATTTAATTAATTAATTAGGTGAGTCAGTTAGGAAATTGTGAATGTCATTTCTACGTTTTCCGGGTTCAATTTGGTTTCGATTGTAGTTCGAATTTTCGGACTCGATGATTTCCCCAATCAACAACATAGAGATTACCGTGTCGATCGAATGACAAACCGATGGGTCCATTGAGTTGGTTTGATTGTCCTCCACTAGCGTTTCCACCAACAATGACACTTCCTTGTGTGGCTTCTTTAGGCCAACGCATGATTCGATCATTCCTCCAATCAGCCACATAGACAGTGCCCAATTGATCGACAACGACTCCCTGAGGAGATAACAATTGTGTAAGATCATTTCCATAACCTTGACCACCAGCCACGACAATGCCTTGTTTTGCACCTTCCATCCATTTCATCACACGATGATTGTCCCTATCAGATACGTACACTGAATGATCTCGATCGAGGAATACGTATGTTGGGAAAGAGAGTTGCTCGAGACCATTTCCAATTTCATTGCCACGTGCAAGCACTGTTCCTTGAGATTCTCCTTTTCGATATCGTCTCACTTCATGTTTTCCAACATCAGTGACATAGAGAGATCCATTCTCGTCCATTGTCAAACCCACACACTCGATGTTGGAGATAATTGTTTCTCCACTTGTCCCATTTCGACGAGGCCATCGAACCACTCTTCTATTCAAATAGTCGCATATAATGAGACTATCTCTCTCTTTGTCGATAATCACATCTTGTGGGTTAGACAATTGATGATCTCCACTTCCTTGTCCATTTCCACCGGCAACCACTTGGCCACTCGTTGCACCCCGTTTCCATTCCATAATACGATGATTTGATTGATCAGCAACATAGATTGTTTGATCATCATCAACATACAAACCCAATGGGTCTGAGAGTTGATTGATTCCATTGCCTTGTCGATTTCCTCCAGCTACAGTGATACCATATTGTTTCCATCGAGCATTCGGATGAATATCAATAGAACTCCCATGTAATGGATGGACTGAAATCGAGAGAGAAAGGAGAAATCATAAAATAAGAAAGAAAAAAGTGAAAAGTTCATTTGAATTTTTGCAAAGTCAACATCGTTCCAAATTTTGGCTTGTTTCAGATTTCTTACTTTGACACTGAGGTGTTTTCGTTTTGGTTTTCTTTATTACTTAATTCATCGTAGAATAACTATTGATATATGTTTTTTTTTTGTTTTTCTTTTCCACTATCTTTATATCTTATATTTGAATTGGTGCACTTCAAAAAAAGATTTTAGTAGAGTTGAAGTGTAAGTCATCGTACGTAATTAATAAATCATTAATACAAATAATTAAAGTTCTTTTTGCTTTGCTTGGAAAGAGAAATAGATCACGATAATCATTCTATTAGAAATAATGAATTTTTTTTGAGTTCGATGAAAGATATAATTATGAATATGCATATATATATAGAAAACATTGGAATCTCACATCCTTTTATCGACTAATAGACAGAGCGAGACAGAGTGTCATGAAATAATAGAAATAAACTAATTAAAACAGAAAAAAAATCTTTATTATATTCATATTTGTTTTTAATAGAACTTTTTCTTTATATATCATTAGATATTATAGCAACTTCATGAGAGAACATTCAATTATTTACTATATTCTTTTTTTTCTCTACATTCAAACCAACTTGCAATTTTCTTCATAGATCGAGAAAAAGAATAAAAGTTCATAGTTCTACAGGTATTTTTAAATTAAAAATAAAAATATTACAAGTTGAAACTATTTCATTAGTTTTCTTATCAATTTTTTTTCTATATGTACGTTAAATGTATGTTAAAAAACATTCTAGACAAAAGAAACTTCGTCAGACTACACAACTGAAATTTCTCTATTGCTTTTCTTTTTTTCCTTTTGTTTTTCATAGTTTTATCTGCAAAATCACATGCTCATTAGAAGTTATTTTTTTAACACATTACGTTGTTCTTCTAGAATCGATTGTTATAATACGTTCTTTTTTACATAGAGAAATCTATTCTTAGCTCTCATTTGGGGCGTAGCAAGGTTAGTTTCCGGGTCTATAATTTTCAACAATAATTAATTAACTTATGGATAGGCGATATTTATGCCTTACATTGAGAATCTCTTAAGACTATATCATTATTTAAAGCTATAGAACTTGGGATTGTTTCAAATTAAAGTCAACATTAGTGAACAACTTTTCGACACACAAAAATTACAATTTTGATCCTTATTTTCATTTATTTTCTATTTTGTCATTTTTTTGTATCACTTGTGCTTGCAAAATTAGACCAACAAGTCAGTCCAAAATTCAAATATAAAAATGTATGATCCTACAAAAATTTACTCATACTTGAAGTTTCTAGGTTTTTTTTGTTGGTTGAATCAAAAATATCTTGTTTTGAGTGAAACGTCTAATTCAAACGTAATACTGTTACTTTTCTTAACACATTTTTTATCAATTATCTTCCAACTATGACAGCTAGAAAGTTTGCTCAAATACCATTCGACGTATCCTCATCATGTTTTATTCATGATATAAACATGACGTGTGTATGGCTCTTAGTATGGGTGTAAGTGTGGGCTGATTCTTTCCATACACACCCACATCCACACCCCAATTTTTACATTCACAAAAAAATGGCGTTCTAATTATAAAACTACTCGTTTATTTGATAATAACGAAGATCAATTTAAGAAAGAACTCTCTCATGTCCTGTCTCTTGACATACTCTTTCAAATCGAAGAAAAAGTCATAGACTAAAATGAAGCTCCTTCGAACATGCTGGGATGTCCAACCAAAAAAACATAAACTAAGAAAAAACAAAAATGATTTTCAATTTATCTCAGAAACTATATTTTTTCAAGTAGAAAATGACAGACGTTTTTTCAAACAAAAACGAAGTGCCACATAAAAAGTCATGTCGTTTTTTAAAGATTTGACTTCGTACTATCTGTCTATGCACCTATCTCAATTTTCATGTTTTTCACAAAAAATCGACTTTTCTTCTAGGGAGAGGGGCTAAAGCAACATGTGAAGATATAATGATAAAAATGATTCTACTACTTTTAAATGTGTTTCTTTTTGTATTTTTCCAATATTTAGATATTAGATTTCAAAATATATCTTTTCAATCTGTTCGACTTTGTATATTCGAAATATACAAAAATTAAATCAAAATAAGATCGAACCTTATGAAAAGTATAATTGAAACTTATTTATGATATCTAACTATAACTATTCGCTTTTTCATCATCTTTGCTGACGTGAATAGAAAAACAAAAAAAAACATTCAATCGCTTTACATGTATGTCCAATTTCAATGAAAGTACTAAAAATTATAAAGCAAACTTATATTCAACCACTTGCCTTCGGTAGCCAATCTATCATCTACATTAATTTTTAACTAACTATAAGAAAAACAATGCAATCAATGCCTAAAAAAACTGTCAAGTAATGTATAAATACGATTGAAAATGTGACAAAAAAGAATCGTTTACTACGTAATATGAGTGAAAGAGATAAATATTCAAAGATATGAGAAAATTAATAGAAAATAATATGGAAATGCACAAAATCAAACTGAAGAGAAAAAATAAGCGATTGGGTCATTAAAAAATCACCTTTTTTCAAATTTGGAATAGTCGATATGCTAAAACACTCTAAAGCAACGAAGACTCATGAAAACTGAATGCACAAGGTCACCTAAAATCGAGCAAGAAAAGAAAACGCATAAACACGTGTTTTATTTCAATTTCAATGTCTTTACTATTTAAATTTAAATTTAAATTTGCTTCTCTGGTAGAGAAATGTTACCTTGAGTATATCCTAAAACTGTCTTAGACTCCTTACCAAGAAAAGGTTGGCAAATCATATGCTTGTTGAGAAATATCGACTAATCGAATGAGAAGAATGAAATAAAATAAAATATTGACAGCTTGGATACATAACCTGTCTATTTATGAGTGAAATAAGCGAATGCATCGAGATAGAAAGATTTCTTCATCATCACTATATTATTCGATTTTTAGAAATATATGTTGAAAATCCTCATACGAGAATCTGGTTTAGAGTTCTCATTATATTAAAGTAGAAGCATAACGAAGAATAAAACCGTCACCTGATGAATCCTGAACTGCAAAATTCTAACAAGATTTCGTCAGAATACCAGAAATCGGATGTATACTTGCAAAAAAAGAATTCTTTTCCAAATCTTCCAAGATGCCATCAGTAGATTTTTAAGAACAAGCATTTCTCATTCTCAGAAGACAAAACACTGATCTTTCATGGGATATTGACACGATAATATCAGAATTCAGCAAAGATTAGATCGAATCTTATGTAGCAAAGAAGACTGCAACATAAATTGAAAGGGGTTTTAACAAGGCCTTCTCATCATCTTCATAGCAGAATCCCATTGAAATTCATAGCCAAACCAAGCTAAAATCTTAACAAGAAAGTAATATGCTCCGACAGAATGCCAACTTCATAAATCTTGGTATGATATCATGAGGATACCAGGAATCCGATTTATGCCTACTTTTAGAACCTTTACGGTAACATTTCACGAACTTTTTTGACGGCTTTCAAGAATAAGCGTTTCGAATACGTGCAAAAGCAATGATGATTCTAATAAGGATTATGAGTGTAGAACTTAGGGATTCATTTGGAATCTTTGCCGATGATTTTCTCGAGACCCACTCAGACAAACAAGAAAAATAAACTCACAACAACACGTCGGAATAATAACGAAAAAAAATCATAAAAATGTTTTCGAGCGAATACATATATACATCAGTTCAAGATTTTTGACGTATTATTATGCGCTCGGTTTTTGAATTGAGAGTATGGCTATAGAGAACAATCGTATTTCATAGATATGGTTCGCTTAAAGTATAATTCAGGTGAATTAAGTTGGTGTGTAGATATGGGTGTGCATCTTCTCTTCAAGGACATCCACATCTCATACCCACACTCACACCCATGCCCCACATCCTCGAAGAGATAGAAAGTGTAACGTTAAGCTATTATCAGGTTTTTGGAGAAGATGTGCTGCAACACATTGTCTAGAAATGCTAGAAGGGTTTCTATGAACTCTAGACGATGATCATAGCTGTAAAATAAAGAACAGTGTCCAAATCAAGGGAGAAACAGCTGATTTCGGGATTCCAAGGATTCCGAAGATTCCATGGGATTCCAGAGAGTCCATGTAGGGATGCACCAGTTCCAGTAGACTGGGTCCTTATCTATCATCTATCCTAGGAGGGGTCCTGGCGTCCTCATCTGCCAATCCTAGGTGAGGGTCTTGGGTCCTCATCCTCTATTATATGAGGGTGCCCTTGGGTCCCTATTCCCTATTACATGGCGGTACCCTTAGGTCCTCATCTCCTATTATATGGGGGTACCCTTGGGTCCTCATCTCCTATTATATGGGGGTACCCTTGGGTCCTCATCCTCTATTATATGGGGGTACCGTTGGGTCCTCAAGTCCTATATTAGGAGGGTACCCTTAAGTCCTCATCTCCTATTATATAGGGGTACCCTTGGATCCTCATCTCCTATTATATGAAGGTATCCTTGGGTCCTCAAGTCCTATATTATGGGGTACCCTTGGGTCCTCATCCTCTATTATATGGGGGTACCCTTGGGTCCTCAAGTTCTATATTATGAGGGTACCCTTAGGTCCTCAAGTCCTATATTATGGGGTTACCCTTGGATCTTCATCCTCTATTATATGGGGGTACCCTTGGGTCCTGAAGTCCTATATTAGGAGGGCATCCTTAGGTCCTCAAGTCCTATATTATTGGAGTATTTTGGGCCCTCAATTCTCTATCCTAGGGGTAGGCCTTAGGTTCCCATCTGGCTATCCTAGGAGAGAATTTTGGGTCCTCATGTTCCTGTCCCCGAGGAGGGTCTTGGGTCCTCAAAAGTCTATCCTAGGACGATAGCCAAGTCCTTATGCGTTTAACAAAAAACCCGAACATTTCCGAAGATGTATCGTAAAAAGCTCTATAAGTTGAATAATATAGTTCATGATCACCGTTTTAAAATAAACAAAATTCTCTGCAACAAATTTGGGCGCACTCAAAATTTGTCCACCCAGAACTTTCTCCGTTTTCAAAGATATATTCATGCCATCAACTTTGCAACGTTGAGTATGGCTTATATGCAATGGCTTCTAAACCAGTAAGATGCAAAATCCAGTATGATTCCTTCAATAAACGCATAAGGACTTGACTTTCGACCTAGGATAGACATTTGAGGACCCATGACCCTCCTCCGGGACAGGGACATGAGGACCCAAAATTCTCTCCTAGGGTAGCCAGATGAGAACCTAAGACCTACCCCTAGGATAGAGACTTGAGGACCCAAGATACTTCAATAATATAGGACTTGAGGACCTAAGGGTGTCCTCATATAATAGGAGATGAGGACCCAAGGGTATCCCATATAATAGAGGACTTGACGACACAAGAGTACCCATATAATAGAGGATGAGGACCCAAGGGTACACTCCTAATATAGGACTTGGGACCCAAGCGTACTCCATATAATAGGAAATGAGGACCCAAGGGCACCCCCATAATACAGGACTTGAGGATCCCAGGGTACCTTCATATAACAGGACTTGTGGACCCAAGGGTACCCTCACATAATAGAGGATGAGGACCTTAGGGCACCCCCATAATATAGGACTTGAGGACCTAAGGGTACCCCAGTATTATAGAACCTGAGGACCTAAGTGTACTGTCATATAATAGAGGATGAGGACCCAAGGATATCCTCATATAATAGGAGATGAAGACCGAAGACCTTCACCTAGGATTGGCAGATGAGAACCCAAGTACCCTCCCGGGATAGATGATAGATAAGGTCCCAGTCCTCCAGTTTTGAACTGGAACTGGTGCATCCATAATTCCATGGGATTCCGTGGGATTCCATGGGATTCCAAGGGATTCCATGGGATTCCAAGGGATTCCATGGGATTCCAGGGATTCCATGGGATTCCAGGGATTCCAAGGGATTCCAAACCGTTGGAATCTGCCGTTTCCCCCTTGGTCCAAATTCGACACTGAAAAATGCTCAGATTTGATTTTCTTAGAAGAATCTCAGAACGAAGGATTTTCAAGTCCTTGTAAATAAATATCGGACCTATTCCGTATTTATTTGAGCACCCTAAGGAATGACTGCATCAGTGGCGTAGCCAGGGGGGTGGCCATTGGGCAAGTGCCCAATAGTTCAAAAGGTATTGCCCAATAAATTTTGCGGACAATAGTAATTGCCCAATAAATTGGTAAAAATGTTTTTTTTTGCTCTTCACTTTTGATTTTTTGGGTAATGGATCGGAAA